AGGGTGTTTTTTTTTTTTTATAGAATTCTTGTTTCACAGAACTTACACTTTCCTTCACTGTCCTCATGTCCCTAGACTTCAGTTTCCTAGTGCGAGGCAGAGCCCTGCTAATCCATTCTGTGGTTCAGAGTCCTGAACTAAACAACTCATCAGTACTTGGAAACACCTGGTTAGGAGACTTGGGTTCAGAAGTCAAAGCAACAGCCTTATGGATTGCTTTGGGAACTCATTCAGCCAATAGTCTTTTTATTTATTTATTTATTTATTTATTTATTTATTTATTATTTTTTATTTTTTGGATTCCCATTTTTGTGTTGTATAATGCATCTTAGTAACAAGTGAAAAACAAAAGCTTGAAAGTTTCTTTCTTCCCTTCTGTTCATGTTTGGCTGTGATTAAATTTCTGAGTTTTTGCTGAATTATGTCATATTTTGTATGGACTCCACTTTGTTTACTTTATTAAAATCTGAGAGCAAGCTGGCTCTCTTGGGTGGTGGTAGTGGAGCAGATGGCAGTTTCCAGCGCCTAAGGGCAGAAGACCTCGGTGGCTCTTTACCTTTATTTGTGTGAGTGTTCCCCACATAAACATTTGTTACTCTTTTATTTGGGCGTTCGTGTACTTCCGTTATCTGCCATCATTTGGTGCCAAATGTTGTGCACTGTCTCAGGTGACTATTGGCTGAACCAGTTTCCCCAACATAGGGACGAAGGGTGAGGGCAGCGGCTTGCTGCAGAAGCCATTACCTGCATGAAAAAGTCAGGGTGATACATTTATTTGAAGCTCTTATTTGGGTCACCAGGTGGAGAGACTGTTCAAAAGAGTGCCCACTGTGCTCTTCTGCCTTTTCCGCTGTACTCCTCAGTAGCTCTCACCAGGGTACTCTTGGCATTACAGGTAGGTGAGAAGGCCCGTCTTTGCAGAATATTTTGGTACCTGGCTTCCATGCCCATGTTGTAGCATCTTTTTTTCCCTCTCTTCCTTTGTGAAAACCAAAGGTTACCTCTACACGCCATGCTGTGTCCCTGCCTGTCATAGAGCCACTCAAGGGAGAGGTGGGCCTTGCCCTTCCTCACTTGGGAACATGCTATGTGGTCACTGCAGTTATCCAAGGCTGACCCCCTGTGTTTTCACCTCCTGGGAATGTAGTTTCAAATGAAATGAGGGGATTGGCCTATGGAAATAGAACTAAAGCTATCAATCATGTCACCACAACCAGTGGAAGCCACCATGAGAGTCAGAGGGTCCATGCTCATCACTGTGCAGTGAGGGGTTGACACAAGACCAGGGAGTGCTTTGCTGCCTTGCATTCAGGGGACCTCAGGAACATCCCTTCTGGACTGGCTAGGACCACTAGGGATCCAGGTCAAGGCCAGGGCTACTCGATAAGTAAGAACACAAGGTGGGGCCGAGCTGTGTGGAGTCTGCACTGGCCCAGTTCAACATGGAGGGTTTGGAACACTTGCTACTCTCTCTGAGAGCCAGGCACGTGTGTGTCCTCTCAGCTTGGTGACGCCACTCTTAGCTCTTACAGTCAGATGTGGGAGGGAATGCTTGCACCATGAGAACCTGCAGGATCTCAGGCGGTCTCCTCTCTATGTGGAGCTAGCTCCCAGCATGTTGTGGTTTGGCGGGCTCTGGAAGCAACACAGCTGCCCCCTGGCTGCTCCTTGCCAGGAGCTAACAGGAGGAAGGTGTCCCTTCTGTCACACACATAGATTCCTACCAGGAAACAGAGCTCGGTAGTCCCTCCACCTACACACCTGGATTGTGCTGCCTAGCCAGACATAGTCTCCTCATCTAGATTCAGGGAAGGGGTGCTTGATATGGCCACAGGGAGTGGACTGCTTTTGACTTGTCCTTAAAGTTCATTTTCATCACCTTTGTCCCTGCAAGTTCTATGTTTCTCGGGGCTTTGGGGACTTTACTTGGTTTGTCACATCCATCAGATTTCCCATGAACTGATATTAAAAAATGCCAACTTTTATGCAGAAGTGCCGGGGATGTTCTGGAAAATGGATAATGTTGGGAGTTGCCCAGAATCTAAGCTCACCAGGAGGGAAGAACACTTGCATAATCGGGGTCCCCAACTCCTTCCATTGGGTCTAACCACTTCCCCATGTTCGGGAAGCCTCTGTTCCTCTCTGGGCTCTTATCTGGCTTCTCCAGATTGCTGGTTGCTTCCTTTTCATCATGTGGGCTCAGTTGTCTTTCCTGGTGGGAAAGTGAAAGCCAATTTGCCAGGGGGCAAGTGCTGAAGAAAGAAAACTGCAAACCCACCAGCCTGCCAGGTTCAGACTGTGGTGTCAGGATCTGGAGGAGAGTCAGAAAGCCCTGCTAGTGGAAGCCATTGGCAGTCAGTGTGGTGCTGGGTTGGCTGGGACTGAGCAGGCCAGTTGCTCTGTGAGCCTTGGGTAAGAAAACAAATGTATAACTACCTAAGCAAGTACTTAAAGCAATTGATGAAAGCTCATCAGTGGTGAGTGTAACCCGTCTTACAAACCTCCCTTTGTAACTACTTGGAAGGTTCCATGTCATAAAGACACACTCCCTAGTGTTGGGAGGTGTGTTCTCCTAGTAAATGGTGTCCAGCCTGCACAGGGAGGACTCCCTGAAACCTTTGATGCCCCAGGCCTTGTGTGTGGCCCAGTGTCACCCACAGACCCAAGGGACACACAGTACAGAGCATCATAGGACCCGGTAACTACTTGGAAGGTTCCATGTCATAAAGACACACTCCCTAGTGTTGGAAGGTGTGTTCTCTTAGTAAATGGTGTCCAGCCTGCACAGGGAGGACTCCCTAAAAACCTTTGATGCCCCAGGCCTTGTGTGTGGCCACAGACCCAAGGGACACACAGTACAGAGCATCATAGGACCCTAGAAAGAATGAAGTAGCCCTGTTACTCCAGCTTGCTACACCCCATGGGTGCTGGGTGGACAAGCTTCTTCCTGGCCCAGCTACCAAGGGCTGGCCTGGCTGGGTTTGAGGCCAGGTCTAGTCTTAGAGCTTCAGCGAAGTCATCACTGTGAGGGACGATAATCGTGCTTTTCTCCAAACCAATTAACATACTCAGCACCTTCCAGAATTGGTCTGGAGCTGTTCCTAGGATAGGAAAACAGTTCACGGGGTTGTTGAAAACGGCCTTCCAGGGAGACCCCTCTGGGCTCCTCAGCTTGTCCCTGCTGTGCCATCTAGTGGCCAGAAGTGGAAATGCTCTGACGGCTCATGAAAGGCTATAGAAACTTCAGTCAAAGGGAAGGTTGTGTCAAGTCACTGGGTTTAGATTCTCCTGGGCGCGAAGAGAGGAACTAGAGGGATCATGCTATAGGGTGAGGTTAGAGTCCCTCAGGCATGAGAGTGAGGATTCTTTGCTTTTTCTTGCTTTTCAAGACAGTGGTGTACTCTGCCCACCTCTGTGAGAAAGTACTCCTGGCTTATGTTCTGAAACAGCGGTTCTCAACCTGGGGGATCAAATGACCGTTTCACAGGGGTCACCTAAGACTGTTAAAAACACAGATATTTATATTATAATTCATAACAGTAGCAAAATCACAGTTGTGAAGTAGCAGTGTAAATAATTTTATGGTTGGGGGTCACCACGCATGAGGAACTCTGTTAAAGGGCCACAGCATTAGTTGAGAATCACTGCTTCTGGAGCCTCGGGCCCAAGGTGGCCATCTCTGGGTGGACAGGAAAGAAGCCATGGAAGGGACCTGAACGTAGGCAGGAGGGGGTGATGTAGGGTTCCTTCCGTGGAAACCCACTCCTGTCTGATGTTCCTGGGCTCCCAAGCAAACAAGTGCTTGCTTGGTTGGTCACCCAGAGTTCAGGGCCTCATAAAAGCCAAAGTGTAAACTTAGCAAAAACATTGTCTTCTTTTATGAAACAGGATGTGTTGAAGTCAGTTATTAATTAGCTGGCTGACATGTGATTCAGAGATGAGTGGCCTCTCTTGAGAGGCAGGTGACCGTGCTCCACTGCCCCCAGTGGTGAGTGGGTTTGCCTCTGAAACAAAACCACAATGAGGTGCCAAAGTGACCTGCCACACCCTGTTTCTAGTGATGGTTTATAACTCTCACTAGAAGCCCCCACAGCTCCTTCGTGTTTGAGACAGTGTCCCAGGGGGCTGCGAATGGCTTGTGTGGTCGTCTGCACTTGAGCCTCCAGCACACAGCCTGAGAGTCTTCCACCTGTGTGTAGTTGTCTGTTTCTCCCCTCCGTTCATCTCCGTTTCACACTCCAGGAAGGACGGAGGGACAGTGGTCGATTCTGCTTTACTCCATGTCCCTGGGCAACAGTTTGGGGATGTTTTTAGTCTCCGGTTTCCTTATCTGACAAGGAGGGGAGCAGACACACCTTCTGTGGAGGGGGAGTCACCTGAGAGTTCACAACACTCCTTTTGGAATGCCATCTTACCAAGGAACATCTGTGCAGACACTTATTAGTGGAATCTCACCAACCGGAAAGTTGACAGACTAGCAAGAAATGCTGTGTCTCAGCATGAACATGCTGAGACATGGGGCCCATGACGGCCCTAGAGTTACTGAGAGCATTTACCACAGGTGCCCATTGGACTGTTGGCATGGTTTCAGGGTTAAGCAAGGCACTCAACAGTGACCATGCATAAAGGCAAAACAGAAATTTGGATAGGTCCAGGAAGATGGTTTAGGAAATAAAAGTGTCTGCCATCAAGCCTGAGGACCCATATGATGGAAGGAGAGAAGTGCTGAGCTTAAAAGCTGCCCTCTGACTTCTGATATGTGCCACGGAATGCACACAAGATAAATAAATAAAAGTAATGAAAGATTAAATACTGTGTGAGCCAGCCACCAATTTATAAGATGCTTGTAATCTTGGAAAACTCTGTGATCCACCCCACTCGACCCCCCAGGTTATGTGCAAAATTTTGCTAAATCCTAAACTGAGATGGCTTCTCAGAAGATTTCTCTCCTGTGTAAACCCAGAAGTCCCTGGGACCCAGAAGATTCCGCATTGCAGGAAGTATAGAGAGGCACATCTCTAAAATACATCTGCCTCCCCATAGTGCCCACTAGGGGACAGTGTCGCCTCTGCCAGGTCCCAGTTGTTTGTTAATCATTCCGAGCCTGCCAGGCCTGGGATGCCTGCTCGGGGGGAGAGAAAAGAAGCCATGGAAGGGACCTGAACGTAGGCAGGAGGGGGTGATGTAGGGTTCCTTCCGTGGAAACCCACTCCTGTCTGATGTTCCTGGGCTCCCAAGCAAACAAGTGCTTGCTTGGTTGGTCACCCAGAGTTCAGGGCCTCATAAAAGCCAAAGTGTAAACTTAGCAAAAACATTGTCTTCTTTTATGAAACAGGATGTGTTGAAGTCAGTTATTAATTAGCTGGCTGACATGTGATTCAGAGATGAGTGGCCTCTCTTGAGAGGCAGGTGACCGTGCTCCACTGCCCCCAGTGGTGAGTGGGTTTGCCTCGGAAACAAAACCACAATGAGGTGCCAAAGTGACCTGCCACACCCTGTCTCTAAG